GGCGATTTTTTTGCCTCCCCACAAATCGACCCGGCCTAATGTACATACAAGAACATACGGAAAGAAGACACATGGGAAATATCTAAAAATCAAAAGTCCGCAGTAAGTAGTTGAAATGAGTCATGATTCATGAAAACTGAAAAAAAAACCTCAGGTAGAGACTTCTGCAGCCGCTTAAAATTTGCTTCGGAGGCAAGTAGACCAAGCTGTTTACCAAACGTTGTTTCAATTCAGGAGTAAAGTCCTCTCTCGACGTACGAAAACCATACTCTATAAGTCACTCATCATTTTCGTGCTGGTATATGGCGGAGAAGCATGGACAATGACAACATCCGCTGTGGCGGCTCCTGAAATGTTCGAGAGAAAGATTTTTTTGGCGGATTAACGCCTCTCAATTGCTTATTAATCACTTTTCAGCTTTTATTTCTGATTTTTTGAAAACATAACTAAGCCCATTTGATATGTATTTAGTAGTCAACGATTTGCTTCATTTAATCGGTTTCACTGGTTGTGGTCGCGACTGTGCTGCAATTGGTGATTTTGTTGTCGTCGATATGGGTGCAATCGCAGCTGCTGCCTTGGGACCGACGGCCGCTGCAGATGCTTTCGAATTGGCGGCAGCATTATTTGCCGTTGTTTTTGCTACCACGCAAGCATCCTCACAGGTCTTCAAGAAGCCAAATTTATTGTCATTGCCACGACAGCCACCGAATTTGAAGGGCTCACAGGCATTTGTTTGCGCATTGTAGTAGAAGCGATCGAGATTCATGCGACACGGACCAGGCTCCTTAGGCTGTAGGCATTTTGGATCTGAGGAATGCGAATTTTAATAAGTATGTAAATATTTAGTTACATAAATATGGAAATTGATTAAATCGAATACACGTTTTAAGTTTTATTTTTTTTTTTGTTATCGCTCACTCACCTTGCACTCGCGCTGCCACACCCGCCAGCCCACCACCAGCTGTATTCGTTTGTGTTATCTGTTTATTTTGTGGAGCGCTCAAAACTGCGCTAATCGCGATGGTCAGCAGAAATCCACGTAAACACATCTCAAAATGAGCCGCTGCCATTCT